AGACGAGGATATAGGAAAAATGAATAGCCTAGGACAGAATGAGAGATACCACAACATTTGGTCAGAGGATCGGCTTCACTTGTCTCTTTGACGAGTTGCTGTATGGTGCTAAGAATGACAAAACTCACTGACGATGTATCACGTCCACGGTGCTACTCTGGAAATGATGATGCATACAATGGACTCCTGACTAGGTACGTTCCTCTAAGTCTTCCTGTCAATATGACCGAATTGCGAAAACAAGGTCAAACAACTTCTATCCCTCTTTAATTTATATTAAGTAGGCTAGGATAAGTAGATTTTAGTCACGAATTACTGATAATTTCTATAACTATTTTTATCTAGTCCGGTGTTCTGTAAACGCCCGCAGCCAAAAGTGAACAACTAAAACCTTTCGCCGCGTCTTGATGCTTTGCGTCCGGGATAGTTCAAGTGGAGCTGGCCGAGACTCCCTGACTTCCTCGAACAATCCAACAATGTTCACTCCTCCAAGGCATTCGTCCCTCGTTTTCCAGTCAGATCAATCCATGAATTTAATTCAACCAACTTTGACTTTGTGATGAAAAGTCACGTCACAATATATACACATCAACTTTCGGTTTAACTTGAAGAAATATTTTCCTTTCGGGTCTACTCAATTTCTCGAGACAGCACCATTTTCGATTGCTTTACCTCTTCATGGCATTATAAACTAAGCATTCCTTGATGACAATTAATCGTTCTAAACGTGCCTTCTTAGTCAATGTTAGTTTACTTTTATGGGGCTAAAAGTGATAGATTTGAAAAAGAATTTCAATCCTAATGTTGCTAAGATGATGCCTATAACTCCATTGTTGACTAAACTTTCAACTTCGCATTCGTTAACTCATTGACCCCAACGGAAGGGTAGCTATAAGCACGAAAGTTCAGGGAAGACGTGCCAAGTCAGGCATTATTTTCACTTTAATTTGAATTTTTCAGATATTTTGAGTGTGTCAAGAATGTATTAATTATGAGTTATGCATTTTTTTGCTGACCAATTGCAGATCTTCTCGAGCGGTACCTTTTCGCATTCAGTGAAATTGCTGTATTAACAGGCCTGGTCGCCGTCGTCAGAATCAGATGGTCACCCAGTTTGAGCAAAGTGGATGTGCTTTCCACGTCTTAGCAAAATTCGTCCCAAGCGGCACGAATTTGAACCCGAAGCGGCTTTCACCTCGGCCAACTTGCTCAACTGTCGCGGTGTGCATTGCGTTCAAACGACAGTCCTCCAGAGAATCTCTTGAGGCCATTGTCTGAAATTTCCACTTAACCACGGCTTGGCTATCATCCTTAACCAAATCCAGAATCAAAATATACACAAACTATTTTTTGAGCAAGTATACCGACATTCATTTAGTCAGATGCGCCTGGGCAATCGATTCTAGCCATCCGGCAAAGCAACCGACATAAACGAAGATAATGGAATATTCAACTCTAATTTTATTTGTTACTACTGAAATTATTTCAGTAGAAGGTTTTTAAAAATATAATTATTGGACATTTCATTGATAGTTCTCCTTCCTTATAAATGAAGCGAAGATTGGTTTTTAATACAGATTAAAATGCCGTTCATTACCATAACAGCCATCATATCCCACTCTTAATACAAAAATTAGGGCTCTTTTATATAGCAAGGATATGGTGCATTAATTCATGCTTCTACTCAGCTCACATATTTAAATTGTTTGCTTGAACAGTGCACATTAATGTTGCCAGCTAAGAAATGTTAGGATCTAAGGCATGATTTACATTTCCATTGCAGATATGTGAAGCATAAGCTTTCCCAGTATCACTAGAATATAGCCGAACACCTTAAGGAAATATATTATATTGGGCAAGAAATTAGATATGCTATTTAATCGAGTTCAATTTTGAGTAAAACTGTCAAATAATGACATTTGTAGGCCCAACTTAATAGAAGACGACAGTGGTTTCCTTTTGCTCTGATGTCCTTTCCGCTTGCAGCAAAAGCGCGGGCAGTTGCCTTGATGACTGCTTCAACCAGTGTCACAATAAAACCAAACGACAGTAGACAAAGACACAACTGTCGTCGTCTTCTAGCAAGGCCTGCCTGTGAATCTTTTCCCAACACACTTGCCCCTGAAACTAAAATTAAGTCAGCGCTGATCTACCAAGAAATCTCTACAAAACCAATTTGTCTTCTTGAAAAAAACACTTGATAGTATTACTCATCGTGGTTAGTAAATGATACTCAAGATTTACTTTCGGGCAGAAGAAGGTCAAAATGACATTTCCATAAATTCATATTGTTATGAAGACCTGATTTGTTAATTCATTCAGTTTATTTGCAGTCCACATTTTATTA